TTTTAAACTATAAAGATGATTAGTCATGAATCTCAGGACTCCGAAAACTACGTTAAAAAAGACAATAAATAGAATAATAAGTTTTCAACATGAAGGGTCAATATTTGGACCGCATATTATACAGATGATCTATTTACCCTAGAAACATCTGTTTCTAATAAATATAGTTAGCACAACAAGATGACAGGCTGTGCGTAACCTCTGCCGGCTACAGTAAGCCAGGAGGCGGGACAGAGGAAGCCCGCGTTTCTAACAGCGGCTACAAGTCCGCCTCCTCGTGACGGCTATTAGTGGGCTTTGTTTATTGATTGATGATAATGATACTCGGGCTCGTCGTAAGCAGACGATTTGAAAAATGGACTACACTTCGCTGATGGGGACTCAGCCTGAATGGGGTTGGAAGGACAGTTATGGGTTCGTCACGTAATTTTACAGAAATTTTTTCGAATACTCAAAAAAGTCGAAAAAGTCAATTGTTCAATCACATTATGCAAACTCTGGGATGATCAGTGTTCGTATTCGGGATCATGTGCTTTTTACCGCAATGAAGAACAAATTTTGAACAGCCTAAACAAAGGGGAACACTAAACACTTTATAATACGCCGGTTATGGTAAAACTGTTGTTTTGCCCGCCTAAGAAACCACTTTTTCTGGAATTTATGTACTTTGAGCGAGCTAACTATTTAGATATCCATTCCAATCAAGATAGAGAATCTTTATTATATAACGAACACCGCAAATTCAGAGAAGTATATGTATATGTAAACAATATAACGATAAACGTAAACAAATGACTAGCTCAATGTGAGAATCTCAATGCAAAGCCATAGGCATTACCAGTTTTAACAGCCGAGTTTTTATGATAATGTTATGCAGCAGTAGCACTCATTTCATGATTACGCTAGGTGAAAAAATAAAATGAAAACTGGATGTTACAAAAGGAGGACTTATGATTCCCTCTGCTCAAGGTGACATGGCAACAATGGATAATGTGAGATCAAATTTTAAAAATTTCTTCCCTTCAAAGTAGATCATATACTGGCAAAACTCAATATCTCCAGCGGAGAATGCTTCCAGTCATGTAGTACACCATGAGCTATTACATAGGTCGATCCATTTTCACAAAATAAATTGACCAGTACCTGAAAAAATGAACTATAAGTGTGATTTAGGAACTAAAAAGTAGAGCTTATTCAAGAATCTTGAACGTGTCATTTAATTTTGCTATCTATGATTAAGATAAATGGTCGTTATCAAATGTGACTATTGAAAAGCTATGGATATAACGTAAATGAAACGAACTGAAAATCAACATTAGAAACGACTCACACAATGTTGAAAAACAGAAATGCTAGCGGAAACATTATCATTGAGCACCGATCTACCTGGAATAAGAAGAGATTGCTGTGTCATTCTGTAAATATGTAAAAACAGTCAATGGTTTGAGAAAAGGTAATCGGGTAAGTGTGTGTTACTATATAAAAATTTTTGTTGATTTAATGTGGTTATGCAAAATGAAGTTATATCCTGAAATTCTCTTTCCTTTTAGAATGAGCTAGAAAGAGTACAACGTTTTCTCAGCTGGATAAGTTCGAGAGCAAAAATAGAAACAAAAGGAATGACCTGATTGTTGCTGTGGCAGACTTTTTTACGAGATAACGTTCAATTCAGAATATGGCGAAGTCGAATTTGACGTCTAATCAATGAAAAGGAGAAAGACATTGATTCAAGAACGGAATTACTTCTCAAACAAGCCCAAATATATACTACATTAGAATGACTGACTGCCGCGAGATTTTGTTTTCAGAGCGAAATGTAATTGACATATTTAACACTAAGAAGTTCTAAAGCAATTTGTTCGTCCTCTCTTGCTCGTACCTCGGCGTATATTTGATACATTGTCTGTTTCTTCTCTGCTGGTAGCAGGTTTTTGCTTAATGGTGGCCTAACGTTTCGACTAGTCTGTTTTTCATAGCCTAATGTAGGGCAAAATCAGTGATCATATTACTATCCCATCAAATGCTTCATCAACCCTGCAATGTGATTAGTTCACGATCCTTGTGTCCACTAAAAGCCTCATACTGAGAATGACAAGCCAACTTTGCTTCACCGCCGTTGCGCAAAATGGTGCCCGCCTTCTATGAAGTCAGTATTGCCAAAAAGCTGCATAAGCGGCTGATTTGTAGATTCACGCAGTACTAATTAGCTCACAAAGCGAGAGAAAAGCATAAAGTCGTTTGTAATCAATACGCACTTATTGCAGTTGTTCATGGGAGGGTTTGTAAAAGAAATTCACAATGCTTGGAGATTCGGGCAGAGGTTTCTGTCTCACAAGGCAAAATTGTGCATTTGTGCTTGTAGTCATCATCACCATGTCCTTCATATCTATGTCTCCCGGAAGGTAAAACACCGTCCCTTCGTGTTCTTTAATTCTCAGCTGAAAGTAAGGGCAAGACTAGGCGAACGAGATCCACGTGAGGTGGAGTGGAAAATTGAGCAGCAAGTAAACTACCCCAATAAATTCTACAAAGAGTTTCAGCCGATACTTGAGGACGATGTCAAGTTTACAATTCTATCGTCCAATGTTTGCCCCTCACATGCAATCTAAGCGACATCACAGCATTATGATT